AGTTTTGGAAGTATGGCCATTTTCACTATATTGGTTCTTCCTACCCAGGAGAAAAGGATGTCTTTCCATTTTCTTATATCCTCTTCGATCTCTTTTTTTCAGAGTGCTGTAGTCAAAAACCAATATTTTAATATAGTCAGCCCTCTGTAATTGTGAGGTCCACACCAGTGGACTCAACCAACTGTGGATCAAAAATATTCTACAATAATTTGTTTTTATACTGAACATGCATAGACTTTTTTCTCATTATTCCCCAAACAATGCAGTATAACAACTATATACATACCACTTACATTGCATCAAGTATTATAAGTTACCTAGAGATGATTTGAAGTGTAGTGGAGAGATGGGTGTGGTGACACATGCCTGTAATCCCAGCACTTTGTGAGGCTGAGGTAAAAGGACTCTAAGCTTGAGGCCAGGCTGAGCACCTTAACAACTTAGTCTCAACATAAAAAATAAGAAGGGCTGGGGATGTTCCTCAGTGCAAAGGCCCTGGGTTCAGTTTCTAGCATTGCAAAAAAAATGTATACAGGAAGATGTGTAAGTTATATGAAAACCTGACAGCATTTTATATAATGGACTTGAACATCTAAGGATTTTTTGTATCAATGAGGGATCTTAGAACTACTCTTCTATGGATACTGAGGTACAATTGTAATATAGTCTACAAAGATACACTAGATACATCTAGAACCAACACTAATAAAATTAATACATATAAGGATGTGTAGGATAATGAAATGGTAATTAAAGTGGAAATTAAATTCTTTAGTGTTCATATTACCAAAGAATCCAGTCCAGTACTAGGGCATAACACAGTGGTAGAGTACTTGCCTAAGAAGTATGAGGCCTTGGATTTAATCTCACCAAAAAAAAAAAATGCAGTCCAACATTTCATTTATTGGGTATGCAAATTGGGATATTATAAAAATAACAACAAAGTAAACCCCATTAGAGAAAGACTGAAAAAAGTAGAAATCAACCAAACAAGTGCCATCCCAATCCACATCACAACTGGATTTCCTGGACTCTCACAAATAAATTCCAAGATGTATATGAAAAAGTAAATGGCCAAAAGTAGCAGTGATACTCCTGAATAGAATAAGCAAGCTGGGAGGATATGCTGTAAAAGATCTGAAGATTTACAAAGCTACAAGTATTTATGAAAATGTGGTCCTGGTGCTAGGATAGAAAAATAATCGAGTAGAACAGAATACAGGGTATAGAATACAGGGTTTATATATCATCATCAGATTTATGCCAAGGAGTCCAAGCAGATAGTGAGAAAAATATGTTCAATAAATGATGCGAACAAGCTCAAGGTCCCAAATTCGATCCCCAGTACCAAAATAAATAAATAAAATAAACAATACCAAGGCCATTGTACATAGGAAAAAAATGCAACTTGACCTTTACTCCACATCACATGCAAACACACATGCACTCACACACGCACACACACAAACTGCAGATAGATTATATATCTAAATGTGAAAAGGCAAAATCTATAAAGGTTTTTTTTAAATAAAAGTTTTAGATAGCACCAAGTTTTTAATACTCAAGAAAGTCACTTTCTATCTTCAGTAGTGTAATAAACCACATGCCGAAAGACAGAGGATTACCTAAGGATAAATAGGATTAGGTGATAAATCTTGACAAATAGTGTACTGGAGTTTGAGCCATAGCTTTGACATCAGGGTAACTACACAAATAAGTGTGTGTGTGTGTGTGTGTGTGTGTGTGTGTAGCTGTGTTCCTTTTTCATTCTTTTGTTTTTCTGAGATAGGGTCTCACTATGTAGTCAGGCTGGCTGTGAACTCACTGTGTAACCCAGGCTGGCAACCCTCCTGCCTCAGCCTCTGGAGTGCTGAGACTACAGGCGTGTGCTACCACTCCCAGCTGTGTTCCTTTTGATTCATTTTTAACATTTACAGGTTTCCACAGGATTCTGCATGCTTTCTAGTGTCAGAGGTGTGTGAGAGTGCCCTCCTGTGGCTGAGTTTGGCCCAGGTCTCCCTGCAGGTGACAGCAGCTGCCACCACTGTTCTGGCAGCCGAACAACTCCCTTGGAGGTCTGGCTGGTCCTCAGCGTGCCTGACAAAGTAAAAACTATAAAGCTTTTAATGTTAGGGGAATCTCAGAAAGAAATGCTCAAAGACACAGAACTCAGGAAAAACAAATAAGCTTTATTTGCAAGCCAGTGAGACCTCCAGAAAGTAGTCTGCTCAGAGTTCCCCCTCTCTTTTGTTAGTCTCTTCTCTTTATACTTTTGTTAGTCATTATCTCCTTCCTAGTGGTCTTTGATGTGTAAATACAATTCCGGTTCCTACCTACAAGTCACAGACACAAGATAGGCACATATACATTGTAAATTTACTTAGGCATTTGCAACTTTGTTAGGTTAAAATGTTGTCTATAATTAAATTACTGGTTAACACCTTAAACATCAAGAGCAACCAAAAAAGCAAATCTTAAAGGAATACATTACTTATTTTGCTTCTACAATTACCTTCATATTCAATCTACGAAGCTACTTAAAACTTTTTTTCTTTCTATCAATGTGATTTACAGGGAGCTTCAGGTCTACATGTACTTTTGCTAGCAAGGCATGGTAATTGTTTTTTTTTAGTTTGGACATCTGGCCCAATTCAAGTGGGTGGGGTGTATGGTTAAGAAATGCTGCAGGAATTTCCTTATCTAGGGATGGTGCTATTGCCTGCAGTCGTTTTACACATCCCTTAACATTTAAAGACAGTATTTATCTTTACAACCCTGGATTAGAAAAAAATTCTTCTTTTTAAAATTTAATTTTATTGGTACATATTCGGTATACAATATGATCACATTCATCATTGGAAATTTGCACCTTTACATAATCTCTCTTGATTCTTATTTTTTCCCCCTTCCCCTGTCCTCCCTTCAACTCCTCCACCCCTCACTATTTACAAAGACTTTGTTTCCTTTTTTTCATTTTCTCATATTAATTCCATTCCCTTCTTTGCTTTCCCCTATCCTTCCCACTTCCCCTTCCCATTTGCCCCTTGCTTCCTGTTTCACATTACCTATTATACCTCTTAGTCCTTATTTATATTTTCAATTTCTCACACTAGAGAAACTATTCAGTATTTACATATGTGTGTCTTACTTATTTCACTTAAGAGTATCGCCTCAATGTGCATCCACTTAGCTATAAATGTCTCTAATTTCTCGATTTTGATGGCTGAGTAGTACTCCATTTTATACAAAAAGCCACATTTTCTTTACCCAGTCTCTGGTTGATGGGCATTTGGGCTGTTTACAAATTTTAGCTATCACAAACTGTGCTGCTAAGAACATGGGTGCACATATATCACTGTGGTATGATTCTTTTATTTCTTTAGGGAAGATACCTGGCAGGGGACTAGCTGGGTCAAATGGGACTTCCAGTCCTAGTTCTTTGAGGTATCTCCATACTGATTTCCACAGT